TGCAACCATACCATAAACAAAAGCACATCGAAATTGTAATTTAGTTGTTAACCTCAGGCAATCCAAACAACGGATAATCAAGCGATACTTCGCACAATATGAATAGTGCTCGCTTATTAACCCTTAAAAATAGCAGGTTGCGTCGAAAAAATGTTTTTTGGATTTTATTTTACGCATATACCACAGTCGCATCTGCCGTATTTGCATAGTGGGCCAAGATTAATTCATATAATATTTTTTGTCTTGATCGTCATTTAGGGCCAATCAGGCGGGCGGCGAAAAAACGATCATTATCATACTTCAGCCCTCCGGCGTTTTTTCAGACGCCAAACAAAGGGCCCATGTTTGTTATTAGGTTAGGGGCGATAATGTAATGCAATTACCTTTTTTCTAAAGTAAAAAACAGAAAAATTCATTATTCAAATCCGCCAGCTGAACAAGCCCGGAATCGTGATTAGGGATTATACTAAATCGCCATTTTTTGTGGTATTTAATATTGAAATTTATGTAAACCAACGAGTAACTGATTGATTTTCTATCATAACAATAGATGTTACATTTATTACAGTTGTGTTGTGACAATCATGGTGAAAACATTATCTGCAACTCATCCATTCTTCATGTAAGTACTAACTAATAATTGTTAGGTATCCCCATGGAACTACCAAAACAAAAATACATTTTTTCTCTTGATTTCAGATCTCTATCATAATTCATAGAGTCAATTACATTTTTTCTTTGTAGGTATTTATTTTTCGCAAGCAATAGTGTGTTCAATTGACAGAAAGTTTGTGATCAGCTAAGAGACATTACAAAGCTGTACCGTGCCAGTGGTTTTCAGTCGGCTTAATGTTAAATGATAGTGTAATCGCAGTGTCTATGAGTGTAATTGCTGCAGTGTCTGTGAGTTTAATCGCAGAGTATGAATAAGTTCTTCTTCTTCTCAGTCGGTACACTCTTGTCAGAGTGGTCGTGGTCATCATTGTGAATGACGATGAGTGATGTTCCTCGCAATACGGCGCCATTCCTCGCTGACTACAGCTTTCCGGGCACTTTTGTTTGGGTAAGTACATTCAGTATTTATTGCTTTAAAATTTAAAGTCCAAGTAACACACTCCTACTAGATCAAATCTAAAACAACTGCCAACCGACAATTAACCCTAACAAATTGCGTCTCACATTCAAATATTTTGACCCCCACCAAAGGAGTATAATCCTCAACATTCATATTTAACCCGCTCGCGTAAGCGGGTTAGTAGAATAGACCCATTGTGCCAGAAGGGCCGCTTTAACCCTTCCATTGCTAAGAGAAAGGCAGCTAATGGTGTTATTTCGGCTAATGATGCCAGTCGTTGTCGATGAAGTGATAAACTTGCTATGAATTTTGTTAGTTTAAAAGAGGGTGCGGTGAGCAATGGGTTGAGTTATTTGCTGTGATAAAGTCACAGTCTTTAAACATCTTTTGAGTGGGTAACGAGACGAATGATAGAACATAAAATATGTTTACTAAATTTTACTTATTTGCAGCACATGAGAATATAATATTATCCGTGTTACAATGTGTTAGAATCCAATTTCGTTCGTGGATCGTGAAGTTCTGGTAAGTCAGATCCAGGAACGCTAGGCTGACCGACCAATCTTTATGATACTTTTACTAAACTTAAACAATACCATAAAGATAAACACCTAAAACTAGATCAAGTAACAAGAAGTAATCTTAACCCTTCTATGGCATAGGTACCAATGAAATCTAGTGCATTTAAAACAGCTAAAAATATTTCACTCTACCTAAGAATGTAAAAACCAACGTAAGTACAATATTTATAAAATGCGAAACAATCCTTTAAAATTAATATTACTTGAAATTATTTACACCTCAAGCCTACAGGCGAAATGAATTACAAAGAGAGACTTTGCAGTACATTTGCTTGCTTTAGTAAAACGCTACAAAAAACAAGCACTCTTCAAGCTCGCATAATTATTCAGAGAATCACCGCCGATGGCTAATTACAAAGAGCTGAATGGGGCTTTGACTAGTGAAAGAAAAAAAAACATGGGCAAGGGCGTAAAGGGACGTTCTGTTTGAGGGTTCCGTAGCACTTTTGCTCATATGGGCCAGTAGTAGTTACCTACTAAATAATTTAGATTTTTCTCAGTGCTACGAGTATACGTAGAGCGTATTAAAATAGACAATTGAAGTGAAATTTAAAGATGGGCCAGCGATTGTTGATTTTTTTCTGTTGTACCAGAGTAGCTTAAATATGGAAAAATAATTTCATTCAACAGATGTATATTCTGTTCTTGTTTGCTGTATAAGTTTTTGCTGACCTGTCACTTACATCCCTGTTTGTCCCTCTCCATGTGTTTTAAGTCAAATTCAACTTAATTATTTTCATCTGAAAATGGTCAGAGCACGTCATGTGGATCTCAGATCACATAATAAGTATTATTATGAGCTTGTTTAAGTATAATTTTGCAACAAATATGTAGGCCCATTTTTCTACATGTTGTACCCAAATAGTAAATATCGAAACTAAATAAATAGCCTGAAAAGCACACTCTACAAGCATAGCTTTAGTCCCAAACTTACAAAGGGTTTTCTCGTTACCAAATGCTTACAGAACCCTAAATGGCAATTATTAACGATACACTGGCCAGAGAGGCCGGGTGCGCAGTGTCACATCTGTTCCTACCCTCGGATTAACACTGATAATTATTCGGCAGTAATTACTGGATTTTCGATATAATAATAGTGGCGGCTAGCAAGCGCGCGCATTTTTGACCATGTGTGTATATACAAAGTTCGTTTAAATTTTTTTGCAGAAAATTTTACGCGTGTTGGTAATTATTTTTTCAAAATTAATTACAAATGCCGCGAGTTTAAGTAACATTTATGTTGTGTAATTGTTAGATGCAAGCTTTAATTATAGTAACGGACAATGCAGCGTGTAATTCTCATTTAGAAAAATAAAAAATGTTACTGATATTTTAACGTCATTCCCAAAACCTAAAATTTTAAATAAATATCCTTTTGAAAACCCTGGCCACTAACATTTCTGTTAAAAACAAACTAACAAAGTCATAAATTAGCCAACAAATTACTGTCTTCAAGATATAAAAATTGCACGCGCTTCATTTTACAGGCATTGGGCAGATAAAATTAAACCTTAGGTGAAAATTATGCCTAATAAACATATCAGGCCACAATGTTGCTAGAATTCAAAAATACTTTACTAACAAAGTTGATTAAGAAACTGACAATTACGCCGACTCTTTATTGGTAAGTAAGAGAGAAAAAACTGATGTTTTATTGTCTGTGTTATTTTTAGAATGCGCGTTCGTTTGTTTAATTTTGAATTTGGAATGTTAAATTGAAAGCATTGTTAAAACAAGTTGAGAATTCAGTTATCATCTACATACAGGCTGAGTTTTTAGTATCGTGTGTTATTTCATTATCATTTTCAATAATAAGTACAGGCTATATTTTCAAAAGTTGCTGTGTTCGACTCTTGGCTATAAGCTAAATAACCATTATAAATATTTAATGATGCCGTATTAGTTTATTTCCAAAATCGGTTCAAGATTCTTACGAGTTCATCTTTGGTCACGCACACTTGAATCACCCTACATACTTATGGCATAAAAATTTGAAGAGTCCAGGTTAGAAACTTAATACAATGAATGACTTAAATAATTCCATTCAAACAAAGCTTCAAACGACCGAACTACCCAATAACATTCACCCTTGCCTCCGGAGCATATGGCACGGCACGCGCCAAAGGGTTGCTTTATTTTGTTTTGTTTCTTTCAAAAAAGAAATAAAGTTAAAATGATGGTATCGCTTTCAATGCAGTGTAATTACGGTGATTCGACTAATTGTCGAGTCGAGTGCCTCAATGGCTTTTGTTTTCAAGCGCAATCTCGCTTTGACCGTGTTTTTGCATGCCATATTGAAATTGAAGTGTTCGTTCGTTGTTGCCACTTGCTTTTGCGTTTGACATAAAACCTTTTTCGAGCGTTCCCAACTTTATTTTCAGCCAGCGCCGTGTGTGCTTTCAAATTCGAAATTGGAACTCGCAAAATATTTTTTTTATACTGAGGTGGATATGAAAAGTTGCCAGTGTTATTCGGAACAGGCAGACCGTGATCTTCATTTGCTAATGTTTTTTTACTCGCTACCAGCTTTTGGTTTGCAAATTCACAATCTATCAATCAAAACGACCATAAAAATCAGAGAGCAGAAATAACAGGAGTGGAACTGACAGGCAATCCCCTCTAGCAATGTAAGTAGACCAGTGGTTCACTCAGTTTATAAAAACTAGTTGCAGCGCCACCAATGACATATTCCAAATGTCACTATTGAAGAGTAACGTGCTGCGATAAAAATGGTGAATTGCAGTGTTTTTAATTGTAAGAAGAGATCTGAAACATCAAATCTTGAAAAGGACAACATTACATTCCATCGGTAAATATTATTTTATTTATTTNAATGTTTCTATGCTGTTTTACACAGAAAATGAGAAGATATTAAAGCCTCCATTGTTATTTTGAAGACCAATCAACTCGACTCTGTGGTACTTACCTAACATAATGCATAAAATGTAGGTTAAGAACCATTTCATCTAGACATACTCGTAGAATGTAGTATTTTGCATTTGCCCTAGATTTTAATTTAACTGAGTAGGAACACCAGATTACGATCAACGATTTTAGGTCCAAATGCTGCGTGATTGGTGGATTTTGACATATCTGTCAATGTCATGTCAAAAATAACCAATCATGCAGCATTTGGACCTCGCGTCTACGTATTGCCATCTGGCGGATTTTTCAATCGCGAAAACCCTCATTGCTTTCGCTTGAAAGAAATAAAAATTTGCCAATAGTTTCCAAGCAAAACCTCGGACAGACAGACATACAGACATATCGAAACTATAAGGGTTCCTTGTCAGGACTACGGAACCCTAATAATGTTAAAATTAAACTCTGAATCGTATAATAAATTGGTAATTTATTTATGGACAATTAAAAGATACACTTATATAACAAAAGGAGATAGATACATAGTATTTAAATTTAGGAAAGTACTATTTTAAGCCATTTGATTCTTCTGATTGAACTTCTTCGTCTATTTCTATTTCAACCTTTTCTATGTTCAGTTGTGACTCACTCAAAATATCACTGAGTTTTCTTTTTCTCGGATTAGATGAAGAGGCGACTGAGCTATCCATCTGAGTGGTACCATCAGATGTATGAGTACCCCCTGATTTAATGTCAACGATTTTGATTTTGTCCACTGAACATTCAGATGGAAGCTGTCTGGTAGGCATTGCGTTCGGCAGCAATCGTGGCATGATAATCATCGCAGAGTCATCAAAATGAAGAGAGCACACCACGTATCTGCTTGGCCTTATACCTGGAGCTGCCAAGTCCGGTCTTCCAATCAATTCTGCCCACGCTTTGCGCCTGAAAAGATAAAGGAACAAATATAAGTAGAAGAGGTACCTAGGGCTCATTCAAAAAATATTTTTGAGACATAGAAATTTACATTTAAACACTAGCGACTGGCATATGGGCTGCCTAAATTAGTAAGATGCATGCACAAAATTTCGCTTCGCGTGGTTATTGTCTCTTTCCAACTCGCTGACTACTCGCTTGCACTAAACTTAACTTACGTAGTGCATCAGCTGGATAATTTGGTTATTTTAGCAATGTAAGCGTGTACCGTATTTTCCATTTTTATCCTACTTCCTACTAATATTGTAAATGCTAAAGTTTGTGTAGATGTCTGGATGTTTGTTACTCTTTCACGCAAAAAGTACTGAACGGATTTTGTTGAAACTTAAAGTATTATTGTTAATAACCCAGAATAACATTATAGGCTATAATTTATGACGATATGTGACAAAAATAATTCAATAAATAAATAGACCTGAGAAAAAGCGCCCTCTATCAACATTGCTTTTAACCTCTTCGTAAATATTCACGCGGATGACGAAGCCGTGCAACGCCATCTATCAAGTGCTGTTCAAACTACTGCTCAAAAGCAGCGTTCGTAAATAATATTGAATTGTTCGTAAATTTTATTAAATAAAGTTTTATGTAGGTATTTGAATCACAGTGTAATATTGGTTAAAATGCGTACACTACGAAGTCGCCTCTCATAGAAGGGAAGCACAAGCACATGCACAAGCATAATTTAGTAACAGCACTAATAACTTTAACCGTGAAAATATACTGAAAAATAAACGCTTACCTTTCCTCGTCTTTTGGCAATGCGAAAAAAGACAGATCCTGGCGTGAATTTCTTATTCGACTTTTACATCCGTCTACCGCACAATGCGTTTGTCGCTTCGCTGGTGTCATTTTTGAAACGCTTGTGTTATTATGACGTACCGCGCGCGACTGCACAGGCAGGCGTGTGACGCCCTTCTGGGCTGGGTCTGGGCCTCTGTCACTTGTTCGTTCGAACGGCGGGTGCGATAGCGATAGTGAGACAGAGAGTTGGCAACAACGCCAACAGGCCGCGGCGGGTGGCGGCAAACAGGCTCAATAAAATTTGTGATAAAATAATGAACTATAGTCCGATTTTTAACCCTTTCACGCATATGGGACACATTTGTCCCCGCATAGTTTTTACGATTTACAGTAATACTAGTTAAGTGAAACCCTTTGTAGTTTAATATTCTTAAATTTTATTATTATCTTTTATGTTTATGCGCTATAAATAATAAAAAACGCGATTCTTTGTGTAAAAAAATACTGGCACAAAATGTGAAAAAAAATTTCGTTCGACGTCAAAATTAAAAAATATTTTAATATTACTTAGCAGCTTTTTGCCCATTATTTTTCTTCCGATTTACATTCACTAATAAGTATAATTATCGTTTATTTACATATTTTCGATTTTCTTCATATGCATAATGAATATTATGTAAAAATCTGTATTGGGACACGGGTGTCCCTATGTGCGTCAAAGGCAACTTGGTTCTTACTAAGGATATTGTTTGCCTCGTTATAATTTGTATGTTTATGTTGATGTTTTATTTATAATTCATACATTTTTTGTAAATCATTTGTCTTCAAATCGACTTGAAGAAATAATAAGAAAGGAAAGACGAAATTTAGAAGTCATGATGACTGACAATAGTGACAACGAGGATGGTTTCCTCCTTGATGAAAGGGTGTCTACTGCTGGACAGAGGCTTCCCTGAGGATTTCCACAACAATCGTTCCTGTGCTGTTCGTATACATGAATGTATATGAGGAGCACAGGAACATGAGGCCTGCAACATTGCGTCTTCCTATCCGTGGGCGCCACTCGAGAAATTTTCTGCCCAAACGGCCATCACTTCTGCGAGCTATGTGCCCTGCCTATTGCCGCGAAAGTTTGGTAATTATGCGGGCTATGTCTGTTACTTTGAGTCTCCTGCGGACTTCCTCATCACCCTTTGGGTGACTGAGCCTTCTCATAAGGCCCATAGTGAAGGAATACATCTCCGTTCCGTGCGTCATCGCCGCCAAGCCAACACACATTGGTCAAAGACTTTCAGTCAAAGGTTTTGAGACACTGTAGTATTTTGGATAATAAGATGTCGCGAAGCCTCTTGGATGCTGTCCCCCCTAGTAAGATTCAACGATTGTAGTCATGGCATGGCTGAGACCTTGGAAAACCTAGAATCAATGCTCTATGGCCTCAGTAGAGGCTCTCAATAAATGCGATTCAAAATAAACATGGACAAGATGAAAAAATTATGTCAATTATCCGTGTTACACGCACTCCTCTGAACGCTGGAGACTCTACACTCAAAGTTGTTCTTGAAACAAACAGTCTAGTTAGGTAGGTCTAACTTCAAGAAAGAGGTCTATGATGAGATGAGGATCAAATTTAAAAATACATAAGATATTATGCTATCTATTTTAAATTTCTTATTATAAATATTAAAAATAAGCTTATTGATTAACTTTGATGTGTATTTGTAGTGTGATTTGTATTTATTTTGCAATAAAAGCGTCGAAGTATTTTATTTTCAATATATGAGGCAATGTAGGGGAGAGGGGGGCAGCTTTGAACAATTTTCATAGTTTATTAAATATCTTCTAAATTTGACTGATTTCATTAATTTTTTCTTCCTAGATAGAGGTCATGGTTATCACACAACAAAATAATGATGTTCTTCTTAATTATTCATGAACGCTTTTTAAGATATTTAGATTTTTGCACAGACCTGTAAATGTTCAAAACTGCCCCGTAGTCGGGGCAGCCTTGAACACGCCTGGGGCAGTTTTGAATTAGTATTTTTTTCAACGAAATAAAACTGAATATTTATGAATGTGTATTTTTTAAATAATTAATAAACAAAATTCTAAATGATCAGTGTCATTTTAGATCAATTTAACATGTTTATTTTATTTTAAATCACTCTGTACAAAGTAACACAAAACTTAGGGATATTATTAAAAAAAAGTAACTATAAGATATATCAATTAACTAAATACTAATAAACTTTCTGTTTAATGACACATCAAAGACAAAACTGCATAATTTTAAAAATATCAATCAACTACTAAAACTAGCTTTTGCCAGGACTTCACCCAGCTTGAAATTTTATCTGTTACAGTAAAGCAATCTGCTTATTTTTTATGTAAGAACCTTCTACAAAGTATTAGAAAACTTAAAGTTTCATAATACCACTGAAAAAAGATAATTGATAAAGTTCAAAGGTGCCCCAACCATTTCGTTCAAAGCTGCCCCATGGGTATATTTCCAGAAAAAAACATAAATTTCATAACGGAACATACTTTTATGTTGCAATTTCTTATCAAATCTTCATTGAAACTATTTAAACTTCCATATAGCAAACAAACCACTCACTATTTTATAAAACTACGTCCACAAAAACCTTAGAACCAAAATAAAAAAGTGCGAAACTGGCAGTCAAAAATAAAAAAGCACTTTTACCGGTTAACCTACAGTTAAATATTAAAAATGAGATGTGACAGCTATGCGCATCAGTGCTGGCAATATAAATTATGATTTATACCATTGTAGCCTAAACCAGTGATTTTTAAATTCATTTGTTCTAAGCTGCCCCTGTCCAAAGCTGCCCCCCTCTCCCCTATACCTTAACGCATATAGGGACATATGTGTCCCCGACTGAAAAACACTGAAATACATAGCACTTATATTTTCTGTATTACTTTTATGTTAAATTAGACAAAAATAAATAGATATAACTAAAGAAAAAACATTTTTATGGTTTGGAATAGTTATAAGCGTGTAAGGGTTAATTGGGCGGAATAATTCTGCCAGCTGAATTTTTTTGACAATTTAGATGTAATAAGACTTTTTTGCTTTGAATTATTAATAATTAATATGAAATGAAATTTCATCAAGTACCTACCTACAACTTACAATAATGACTATTGTTTGTTTTGTGAATTCAATGTAGGTACACTAATTATTATGTACATTTTAGAAATTAAATAGAAAAAAACGTGTTTTCAACACAGTAAAACAACATTTATTTTATTATCATAAATGAAAATAATGTATTGATCATCAATCATCATTATCGTCATTATCAACTTGGATTATAAAACTGACATCTTGTTAAATTGGCTATTTTATGAAGCGAGGATTTTACTTACAAAAGGATTTTCATAAAAATAGGTTTGTAACCTTTATGGATTATTATTGGCCAGGGAGTCCAATAGTAGAACAATAATGTCCCTAATTTTTTTGTAACTTCAAAAATATGATAATAAAAACTCAAATAACCATGTAGAAATGATCAGTACATTTTTAAAAGTCTTACTTTTTCAATTGAAGAAAGGCTTATTTTTTTAATTTGTCAAATTTTTTTCAAATTCAAATTAATTTTTTTTATTTTTTTTTTTCAAATTTCCGTGGGAAAAATAAAACAAGACAACTGTGTTTACAAATGCAGTCGAAGGCATCAATGACTAATTCTTTTGTTGTTGATTATGTATTTTATGCTTCTTTGATATAACTACCTACATGTCAACGTGAAATTGTGAACTCTGTCAGTTCTGGGGGCACGGCAGTGCCCCCACCAAGTCGAGCAAAAAAGCGGCACGGCCGTACCATCCTTTTCTCGAAGCAATTCAGGCCATTTTCGACTGCCTGTAACTTCGTTGTGGATAAAACTAGAAGGCTGAATTTTCATTAGCTATGCAGGCATTGTAAAGACACGGTATATTTATTTCATTTAATTTGAACCAGTAGTTTAAGAATTATAACGGGTCGAAGTTACTTAATTTTGTCACTCAATGACTGACTCACTGACTNTAGAACAACTGAGTTGCGAGACTTGGTTTTCAACCGACTTCAAAAAAGGAGGAGGTTCTCAATTCGACCCGTATGTTTTTTTTTTCTATGTTTGTTACGCGATAACTCCGCCAATTATGAACCGATTTGAACAAATCTTTTTTCGGCGTTTAAGTAATACCTCAAGGGTGGTCCCATTTAAATTTAATAATAGAAAAAACAACCCTCAAGGGTGGAAAATTGGGGATGAACTTTTTTATACGCAATATCTCCGCCGAATATAAATCAATTTGAACGATTATTTTTTTGTTGAATAGGTATTATCAAAAGGATGGTTTCATGCGAATTTGAAGAAAACAGTTCACCCCCAAGGGTGGAAAATTGGGGATGAACTTTTATATACGCAATATTTTTAATTTTTAGTTTTTTTTTGTGTTCACGCATTTGAAGTCGGTTTTATTTTTTTTTAAAGTTGATTATTTTGACAAGTATTGTTTTTGATGGGATTATAATATAACGCGTTAGATTGTAAACTAACAGTGGGTTAGGTTAGGTTAGATTGTAATTTAACTACGTCAGATTATAATCTGACGGAATTCACAATTTTACGGTGACATACATACATCCTATACGCAGTTGGGTTTTTTGTTTAATCAATAATAATTTTATTTCAATCTTTTTAGGTAAATAACGTACATTTTTGTAAACTACTTAAAAAGCCCTTTATTTTGATACCCCAATCGATGGGTTTTGGAAAAAAATGTTTTTGAAGATATGTACCTATTTTGGCGCCGAAAATCCACCATTTTAATTTTTTTCAATTTTATTATAGGTAGTAGTACCTACTATCCGTTCGCGATAAGTTTGCCGCTGGCGATATGACGTCACTCGAAGGAAAGCGTCTATAACTTTAGCAAAAATTGAAAATAAATTTTATTTATTAATATTGATAAAAATTGTGTATTTGCGTAAAATAAAACACTGAATTGCGTTTAATCAATAATTATTTGCGTTTAATCGCGGTTGGAGGAGGGGACGCGCATTCCACGGACCGGCAAACTTAGCGCGAACGGGTAGTATAATAAAGCCAGTGCACTCTCACGAGACGAATCTAACGACACCTCGCACGCTGTAAT